AGCAGCAGTGGAGCTGCTGAAACCCCGTGGGGTGACACAAGGTGATGTGCTGAGGGTGCTCCACCCACAGCTCTGTCCCAGCTCCAGAGCAACGAGAGCAAATCTGTGCTGGGCTGAGCTAAGCCTCTCCTTGCTGAGCCTGCCAATTGCTGCTTGATCCGTTTACCTCCAGCCCTGCGTGACTGCCAGCCTTTCCCACTGCCCCTAATCTTGGCCACAGTGATACCCTGGAATCCAGGTACCAGCACAGCTTCTCTGCTCCATGTCCAGCCTGTTTCTGTATATCCAGAGCTCCTCGGAGCAGCACTGGAGCTCCCTGACCCAGTTCCTCTTTTCCTGCCTCCATGGGTGTCTCCATCCTGGTGGGCAACAAGTAGCCATCCTGCCTGGTCCCTGCACCTCTGCAGCAGCCTTCCCTCTTGCTATCACAGGATGGGAGATGCAAAACAAACCCTCAGAAAAAGCTTGAACAGTTGTATGTGGGGCTGGGATCCCCAGAGCACAACATGCAGCAGCTTCTCTCCCCTGAACAGCTGCTCCTTTCCGGCAGGGAGAGACTCCTGCCTGCTCCTGCCCTGTAGCTCCCAGGGAGAAGTTTTGCCCTGGGGAGGGATCATTTCAGTTCTAGCAAGGGGGAAAACCTCTCAGCATACTCTGCTTGTGTTTGCTTTCGGCCCCTGGGAGCCTGCTCATACCCTCTGCATCTTCTGGATACCAGGAAGATGAACCATCAATTCTACTTCAAAAAAGTTCAGGGGAAAGAAAGAAAACATGAAAAAAACCTAACAGAGCCAGACAGAGCACAAAGACAGATGAAGAGGCAGTGCTTGGCACATGGTCTCTGCTCCAGAAATCTTACACACCCACAGGAAGGTATAAATAACTATAAATTTATTAGTAAAGCAAAACCGTTTGACACTCACACAGAAGAGCAGGATGTGTTATTACAATATATATACACACATACATGGAGTATCATCTTAGAAACACATGGAGAGCAGTGTTAAAGGCACTGCAAGCCACACAAACCTCAGCAAACTTGGCTGCGACTTCCATCAGCCCTGGGAACTCTACCAGAGTCATGACCACAGGTTGGGAGGCACCAGAGAATCTCACTGACCATGAAGTCCCTCAGATCCACAGCTTGGAGGCACTCAGAAACAGGCTCAAGGTCCAGCTCCCACCTGTGGTCCTGCTCTCCCCACTGAGCATCCCAGGCACACTGTGAGAGCAGCATCTTCACATCCACAAAGTGTCAGAGGCAGCTGCCAGGAGATGCTGCAGAGGAAGCTGGGCAGCTGGGGAGAAGCTGGGTGCTCACCAGGCCTGGGGGAAGCTGCCAGCCCCAAACCTCACTGGCCTGCCCTTATTGAATCTCAGCATTTCACCTGCACGCACAGGAACCTTCCCACAGGTGAACTCACCACCCAATGGCGAAAGAGTCAAACTCTGAAGAATAACAAGAGGGTTTTGCCTATTTTTTAATGGCCAGGCTTCAGCTGCAGCCTGGACATGATGGCTAATACCCAAGGGAAGTGCAGAAAGTGTTCTCCTCCCTCCTCCCTGCAAGAGCAGGCTTGAGTGCCCAGAGATGGTCCCAAAACTCTGTCAGAGAGGATGCTTTCCCCTTTGTCCCCAGACCAGCACATGGGCCCCAAGACCACAAGGTGCACATCTTCCCACCCAGATTGCAGAGATGGCACCTGCTCACTGGGGAGCTGGCATGGCCACCTGAGCACCCCCACGGTCCCAGGGGTGTCCATGGCACAGCTAACTCAGCTCAGCTGCCTGCTTGATGCACACAGCTGCTCCACAGCACCCAGGGGAACTAACTGCACTGTCTGAGCCCACCCCAGTGCCATGACAATGTCTGATAGTCCTTCACTGACTTCGTCCTCAGCCTTGGAGATGGAAATGTCTGCTCCCACCCCAGTCCCCTTTTCCTACAGCTCTGTTCTGGCTCTCGGTCCTGGCTTGGATTCACTTGTTGGAGCATGGGCGGGATCCGGCCAAGCCAAGCTGCCAGGTCACAGGCATTGCCCATGCCCAGTGAAATGGATGGCCTGCTGGGGGGAATGGCCAGAAGCACCCACTACATTCCAGCAAGATTCAGGTCCTAAACACCTGATCTCACCACCAGTGGTTTGGTATCACCTGGATCCAGCCTCAGCCTGGGAAAGGAATTTGGGCCTGGGGGGAGCGGAGGGAGGTGGGAACGAAGGAAGAGACTTCACAGTCAGTATGGAAGAAGGAATGAAAAGCAAACCACTGCTTACAAATAAAGAACTGAACAAAGAGAAAAGAAGCTGAGAATGTCTTTTAAAAATATAAGCTGTGGAAGGGGCTGAGACAGCTAAAGGCATCCTGTAGGTAGGGTCAGGGAAGTGAAGATCAGTAAAAGCCCAGCTCATGGACTACCTTTTCCTGGACCCAGGAAGCCAGAGGAACAGCAGTCCTAGAGAGCAGGACTCTGCCAACTTAACCCTCCTCTCTGCCTACTCAACAGCATCCTATGCTCAGACTGCCTGCAGAGAACCACCCCGCAGGAGGGACCACCCGCTACCCAGCCCCACACAGCATCCTCAGGTGCTCTGGTAACCAGGTCTTGAACTGAATTAAGTGCTTGCCACGGGGCTGATGGCACACCAGCTCCAGCACAGCAACTCTTTTAGGTGCTGCAAGGCAGTGAGGAATGGAAGAGGCCAAGCAGAGGCAGGAGCCTGAAAGTTGCTTGAAATAAACACTAGAAGTTAAGTGCAACAGGTACAGAGTAGAGACATGGTTTACTTCCCAAAGGGCTTTGGCCCCAACCGCTCTTTGGTTTGAAAAGGAAACACCAGCAGTCAGCAGAGAGCCCTGCAGTGTGATGCCCCAGGGACATCAGCTCCCAGGCCAGCCCCCGCCTCCCCACGCAGCACAGCGCTCCTGACACTCAGGGGCCTCCTGCTACTTCCACCACCTCCCACCTCACTGCACAAAACACGACCCAAAGGCACAGCAACAGAAATGGACCTGCTTCCCCTACCCCTGTAGGCAACACTGCTGCTTCCAACTAGAAAATGCTCCTATAAAAATATACCCAAAGCTCTCTGTGGCCACTCAGTGCCCACCCCACACAGGTCCTCCACCTGCAAGCTCCAGCTGCATGTTCTCCATGGGCTTCTGCTGGATTTGGGCTGTTGCAGGGTAGCAAATGAAACAAGAGACTGAGTCACTATGGACTCATAGCCCGTCCTAGTAATAATGTTCTAATCTTGCACCATGATGTTTTTGAACCTGGAGGCACCTATTCACCAGCTGATGACCTGGACTGGGGCTCATCCCTGCCAAGCTCCCACAGCATCCCCTCTCTCCCTGGCATGGGGCCCCATGCACACAGCCCTGATGAGTCTCTCTGCCCCTGCAGAGAGCTATAGCTCCTCACTGGGATATCCAGGGCTTTCCCAGCTGCTCAGAGAAGAGAAACACTTCCCAACAGTCTCCCAACAGTCTCTATGTCCAGCTGTACCAAGGGGACAGGATCTGGCAGCTCCAAGGCCCCCACAGAGTGTGGAGCTGTGTCTGGGGTTCACCACCATCCTCCTCTGCTCCAAGCGCCAGGCATCACCCAGGCAGCTCCCCCAAGCTCCTGAGGAGGGAAGGGAGCAGGGCACAGCCAGTTGATGATTTCTCCAAACTCTCCTCTAGCCAGCAGCTCCCCCAGAAAGAAACAGCAGAGCCACAAAAGCCCATGGAGGCTGCATCTGACTATCTCACACCCTCCTCTCTAAGGAAGATGAGCCTCTCTGCAATCTCTGAGCCCTGGGCACTGATCCTGGCTGCCAGTGCTGTGCCCAAGTGCTCAGGGTGACCACTGAACCCCTGGCAGCTGTGCTGGGCGAGAGCAGAGGAACCATGGCCCAAGGCAGGAACACAGCAAGGGTTCAGGTGCGTGCCACAGTCCTCATCTGGTCCCACACCTGCAGCCTCCATCACCACCAAGCCCTTCTGTAAAGACAGGATTAACCGTCCTTTGTTTGGACTCTCTTTTACTCCTACAATAAAGCATACACTGAACTTACTACATATTAAACAGCAAAAACCAGCTACCTAGAACTAAGGAGTTCTTTAAAAATCCAAGTTACCACATCTCTTTTTCGTTAAAGATCCAGTATGACATCAAGTTAAACTATACAGTATTTTTAATGAATTTTAACAAACTGCTTTAAAAAAAAAAAAGGTAAAACAAAAAAATAAGGAAAAGAAACATAGATGGAAAACTTGGTAGGAAGTTCTACATCTTTGAGGCAGCACAAAGTAAGATAACCATCATGGGTCCCTCTTCCTTGGGCAGCAGAGAGCACAGTCTGTTTTAATCTCCTTAAAGTTGCACATGAAGAAGACTCAGCTCCGGAGTTCACCCTGTCACTGCACTCTCCCAGCCCCCGAAAATGCACCCTGTTCCCCCTCACCGTGCTGGAAACGGAAAACTAAAGTCTTTCTCCATCTTTCAGACAAGTGTCCCCCAACAGAGATGCAAGGCCAGTCCAACCCTCAGAAAGGTTAATCTGTGTACACTTGCCATGGACAGCAGTTATTGTTACAAATATATCGTTTGTAACTGTATATATAAAGTTATTATATATAACCTTGTCCTAATCACTTGTGCAGCACATGGGCAATTTACTGGCTGCTGTTCACTACAACCTCACAAGAGCACCAGCCAACACCACAAAAGAGGTGAGGCTTGCCAGGGACCCCTGAAGACCACTAGGTCCAACTCCTTGCTTGCACAGGGTCAGCTACAGCAGGTTGTCCAGGACCACATCCAGTCAAGGACTAAACATCTCCACAGATGGATACTTAACATCTTAATATCTCCAAATATGGAGAGGGGAAGGCTGGGGGGCAACCTAGGAGGCACATCTTCAACCTTCAAGGCATCTAACTGACTTGTAATGGATCTTTTGGACACGAGAAGCCAGCAAATTCCTGCAGAGGAAAACACCTGAGGCTGCATCAACCTTACTGGGGGAGATTTATTTTTAAGTGATGTTTACAAGAAGTGTGCAAAACCTGAAAAATACAGACGAGGTAAAGAAAGGGCAAAGGGGTAAAACAGGACTCCTGCAAGAGGGGAAAAAATAGACTTCTCCTTTACCCACTGCTAACTTTGCCCTCCCCACGGAGCCAAGCCTGCAGTCCAGAAAGGGTTCTCCTGGCTCGCTCTGGTTCCTCCAGCAAATCAGACATCAAGCCCCTGGCACGTGCTGTGGGTACTGCTGGCCATGGCAACACCTCTGCAGTTGTAGGGTATTGTAGTGTTCATCTCACCCATTAGTGTTGGAGCTGTCACAGCCCTTTGCCTGACCCTGCTGGGGGTACCACTATCAGCCCAAGGGGTGCTCAAGGGGCTGGAGGCAAGGCTCAGCAGGAGGGCTGGGTCCCTTGGGAAGCAGCTCCTGAACAGCAGGCTTTTGGGAGCAGGGTATGAATGCTGTAACAGAATCATGAAACTGGTATGGTTGGAAGGACTTTTGGAGATCATCTAGTCCAACCCACCTGCTAAGTTAGGGTCACCTAAAGCAGGTTACACAGAAATATGTCCAGGTGGGTTTTGAATGCCTCCAGAGAGGGAGAATCCATGACCTCCTCCCTGGCAGACCGTCTCAGTGCTCCTTGCCACACTTTCTGGTAGCAGCACAGTGCTTCCTACAGTTCCCTGTGCAGCTGGCAGGGACAGGGGCCAGGCAGGCTCACTCAGAACCCTTGCAGAGTGTGACAGCCAGCAACTGCAAAAGCAGCAATGCCAAAGTGCTTTTTGGAGCTGTGAAGCCCCATGGCTTTTCCCTTTCAACACTCTAGGAGGGAGAGCAGGGGAGGTTGGGGCAGTCAAACACTAAGAATCTGAAACAATGCCCTCAGCTGAACCTAGACCAAGTTGGGAGACCCCAGCAGCAGAAACCTGCTATCTCCATGCCAAGCAGAACACCCTGGGAGAAGGGAGGGTAGGCTCTGCCTTGCTCCTAAACCCTCTCCAGGAGGAGAGTCACCCAACCCTTCCCACCAGCCCTGCTAGGCAGGGAAGGGGAAAAAGGCTGCACGCAAAGAGCTGGTGCCTGCAACAGACAGCTGAGCTCCCAGGACTGAAACTGCAGGTACAGCATGAACTACAGTCCAGGGAACACCAGGCATCTACAGGCACAGTTTCCTCTCTCCACCTCCCTCCTCTCCTTTCCACCCGTTTGAGATGTTCATGCCGTCTGTTGCTACTTCGATACAGGTGGCATAACGACCGCTGAGGCCAGAGGAAAGTTTACCTGCCCACACACCGTACCCCCGCTTTCCCCCACACTCCCTGGAGGTTGCCAACAACCCAAGAGAGGGAAGGGAAGGCCGAAGCTCGGGAGCGTCCCATGCAAGCTGAAAGCCACCGTGGGGCGGAAGGCTCATGGCAAGCAGGCGGCCACCTGGTAGGCACCCTCAGCCGTGTGCTGGACACTGTGCTCCTGCAGCAGGCCCAGGTCCAGGAACCGTTCCCCGCACCACATGCACTTGTACTGCTGCTCCCGGGCATGCACGCTGTGGTGTTTGTTGAGGTGCTCGCGCTGCTTGAAGGCCTTCTCACAAGAGGAGCACTTGTAGGGCTTCTCACCCGTGTGCACGCGCCGGTGGCGCTGCAGGTCCGAGGCGTACTTGAACCGCTTTTCACAGTCGGGGCACTTGAGGGGCTTCTCGCGGGCCGGGTCGCAGCGGTGCTGCACGAACTCCGAGGAGGAGAAGAAACGTCTCTCGCAGAGCGTGCACTTGAGCGGCTTCTCGGCGCAGTGGGCCAGCTGGTGCTTCTGCAGAGCCGAGGCCCGCTTGTAGGACTTGTTGCACACCGCGCACTTGAAGGGCCGCTCCGCGTTCTGCACGCACTTGTGCCGCAGCAGTTCTGAGGACTGGTTGAAGCCTTTCTGGCACACGTTGCACTTGAAGAGGTTCTCTATGCCGTGCACGTGCTGGTGGTACACCAAGTGCGAGGGCTGCACGAAGCCCTTCTCGCAGAGGTTGCACTTGAAGCGCTCCTCGGCCTTGTGCGTGCGGCGGTGGCGCATGAGCGCGTACTGCTGCTTGAAGCTCATCTGGCACAGGTCGCACTTGAAGGGCCGCTCCTCGCTGTGCGTGCGCTCGTGCTGCCGCAGGTCCGAGGGACGCTTGAAGGCCTTCTGGCACTCCCCACAGCGGAAGGGCCGCTCCCCGCTGGGCGTGCAGGGGTGCTGCAGCAGCTCCGAGGACTCCTTGAAGTGCAGCTCGCAGACGTTGCACTTGAAGAGGTGCTCCCCCGAGTGCGCGTACATGTGGCGCACCAGGTGGGAGCGGTGCTTGAAGGTCTTCTCGCACACCGTGCACTTGTAGGGCCGCTCCGAGCTGTGCGTCCGTTTGTGGTGCACCAGGTGGGAGGACTGGCTGAAGCTCTTGTCGCACAGCGTGCACTTGTACGGCTTCTCACCCGTGTGGATGCGCTCGTGCCGGGACAGCTCCGAGAGGTGCTTGAAGGTTTTCTGACAGATGGAGCAGCTGTAGGGCTTCTCCGAGGGGTCGAGAGGCTGTGAATGCTCTACCTCAGGAGGCTTGTAGGTCTTCTCACAGATAGAGCACTTCATGGCGTTGCCGTTGTGGACGTTGTGGTGCTGCGCCAGCGAGGTCAGGAGGGAGAAGCCCATCTTGCAAACGCCGCACACAAAGGGCTTCTGCTCCACCTGGATACACTGGTGTTCAAGGAGGTCGGTGGCCTGGTGGAAGATCTTCAGGCACTGGGTACACTGGAAAGAGCGGTCATGGCCTGGCAAGCACTGGTGCTCATGGGGGTTGGAGAGGTGAGCGAGGTCATGGCCGCACACACCGCATTTGTGGGATGGCTCTCCAGCCTGGATGGGGGCGTGCTGGTGGTGCTGCAGTCCGGGGTCGGGCTGGAGCAGGATGCCGTACACGGCACAGCCCAAGGGGTTGTCAGCAGTGCTGGGAGGGATGGAGTGCTCTGGGAGGGTGGCTGCCCCAGTGTGGTGCTGCTGCGGTGGCGGCGGCTGCTGTGGTTGCTGCTGTTGCTGCTGCCAGCTGTCTGACATGCTTGGGAAAAAAAAATGGGATTTTAGCAGTGATAGCTTCAGCTTCCCAGTTGAAAGGGTTCAAGTAAAAGCAAAACCAAAAGATTCTGAGATCTGATTCCCTGCAACTGATCCCCTGAAGTTGAGACCAGAAAATCCAGCCCACAGACAGGATCCTGGGAAGAAAAGACGTGGAGACTCCAGAGCCTCCTCCTTACACCCGCAGAAGTTCTTTATGGACTGATTTGGTCTGGCTTTTCCTTCTTTCGGACAAAAGAATGGGAGGCAGAGGCAAGTGCCTTGAAGACAAGAGGAGGCCCTTCTCCGTGCTGGCTGCGACGTGCTCACACTTGGGAAGGGTGCAGGAAGCAACCCAGGGAGCCGCTCTCTCTGCAAGAAAGAAGACAGTTCATGTCAGGTCCTAGAAGAAATGTGGGCAATTCTCTATCAATCCTCCCCCATGGCTCTCTTTGAAAACTCTCCTGCATCCCTGCAAAGTTACCAGGAAGCCAATGTGGAACTGGAGCCCCACTTGCTGCTGAGCAAAGGGCCTGGGACAAGGAGTTCACAGCCTGGAAAGGATTGGGCTCTGCCTGGACACAGACAGGCACATGTTCGGGTATTGTGCTCTCACGAGAGGCAGCACAACCACTCAGGGTCTACTCAGCTCAGCCTTGAGTGAGTCACTGGATCTCCAGCACAGCTGTGGCACTGTCTGAGAACACTGGTCTCTCTGCACAGGCTATGCACCAAACATGGTGCAATGAAGAAGCAACCAGGTTAGATTTTACAGGTGTCAATGCAGATCCTAACACAATCCCACCCCAGCTGAAACAGCTCTGTGAAATGGTTCTACTCCTCTTTACACAAGGGATGTATGCAAAGCATTTCCCCCTCTTTGGGCAGCACTTGTAGACTGGAAGAGCCAAAGAACTCAGGAGAAGATTTGCCCTCAGTGTTATCCTATCCTCAGACAGAACACAGAAACCACAGGGATCACTCTGTGAAGAAAAAAGAAGAGTTAAAGCAGTGACTTAGCTGAACCTCCTACAAAACCATGGAACAAAAGTACACTGAAGCCAAATAACCCATGCCAGAGCTGCAGCCTGGCCTTGCTACAGAGCATCATCAGGCTTGCGCTCACCGAAAAGTTCCAGTCTTTTTAGAGATGTCCAATAAAACCTGCCACCAACTTAGAGAAGAATAAGACCCACCAGTGAGCAGCAGACAGCAGCAGTGTCAACACACCTCAACAGAGAAGGTGCAAGCTGTGGTGAGCCTAGAGCCCCCCAGCCGATAAGAGCACTCCCATGTCTGTGTGAAAAACCTGCCCTCAGGGTAAGGAAATCCTTGGTCTGCCACGAGAGTGGTTAGTCTGGAACTAAGCAATAAAGAGCACCAGAGAATGCCACTTCCCAGCATCCCCACCTCCACCGGCACCCAACCTGAGACTGGGTTGAGCCCCACAGCTCAGGTGATGCCAGACCCAGCTCTGACTGTGGGGACACTTCATTGTTTTGTGGTCCAGCACAGTTTCGGGCAGTAAAGCCCCCCAAAGGCCCCATCGCAGCCCTGTCGGCACGCGGGGTGCCCTCCTCCTACAGAGCTCACCTTGACGAAGGGAGGGCTCGCAGTGACGGTACCTGCATCCGAGCTCGGCGGGACACCAAACTTCAGCCCAGCCCGGGCGCCACCTTCCCCCGCACACCCCGCGAACCGTGGCAGGATGAACCCACCGGCGACGCAACCCGGCCTAACGGGGAGGGGAGATTGTGCCCCTCGCAGGGAAGAGCGATACCAACCTTGGCTTACCGAGGGCTCTGCGCGGGGACCCGCGTCGCCGCCAGTTCCAGCCTAACTCATCCCTCCGTGGGAGGTGGGAAGCGACAACCATTTAGGGAGCGCGGTCGGGAGCGCAGAGGTACTTTCAAACTGGCGAGGCGGCCTACTCGGCATGGCCCGGCCCGCTCCCGCCGGGCCCGGGCCGCCTCAGGGCCGCGGGGCGCGGGGGCGGCCGGGGAGCTCGCAGGCCACCAGCAGCCGCCGCCGCCGCAGCCCGCGGCCAGGCCCGGCCCGCCGCTCGCCGCTCCCCATCGGGCGGCCCCGCTGACAGCGCGGGGACTGCGCCCCGAGGCCTTCACCGCCGCCGCGCCGGGAGGCCCCGCGGTGGGCTCGGGTGCAGGGGGACGCTGCCCGCCCGGGGCCGCCCCCGCCCCGGCGAGGCGCACACAAAGGGCGGCGGCGGCGGCCGGGCCGCTCACCTGCGGCGGGAGGAGGCCTCGCCGGCGGCAGGGCCGCGGCCTGCGCGCTGCGCCCGAGCCCCGCGCTGGCGTGGAGGTGGGAGCCGGGATGGAGCAAGGGAGGGAGGGAAGGGAGCGAGCGGCGGGCGGGAGCGCAGCGGAGGGAGCGGAGCGGGCCGGGCCGGGGCGGCCGCGCCGGCGGCGGAGGAGGCGGGGCGGGCGCGGCGGGTGCTGCCCCCTGCCGGGCCGCGCCGGCAACTGCGCGGCCGCGGGGAGCGAGCGGGGTGTCCCGGCGGGAGCGGCGGCCATGAGCGCCGCGCTGGTGGGGTACAGCAGCTCCGAGGAGGAGGAGGAGCAGGAGCAGGAGGAGAAAGGGGGGAGCCGGTGCGGCGGAGCGCAGGGGCCCCCCGGGGCCAGGTGGGTGCGGTGGGGTGGTGGTGGCAGGAGCGCGCGGGAGGCGGGAGCGCGCGGCCTTCCTCCTCCTCTTCCTCGTTCTCACCCCGCTCCGGTCCCGCAGCGCCGGCCGCCCCCGCCTGCCCGCGCCCGCCGGCCTGCCGGGAGACCTAGACCCGGAGGAGGCCGTGAGCGATGACAGCTCCCGGCACGGCGGCCGCGTGCGCGGCTTCCCCCACGAACGGGGCAACTGGGCCACGCACGTCTACCTGCCCTGTAGGTACCGGGACCGGCATGGGTCCGGGACCGGGGGGATGGCGGGACGGAACTCAGCCCGCCGGTGCCGGCGGGGTTGCGCGGCCAGCGCTGCTCTGACGGCGCTGCCCCGCAGACATTGCCCAGGAGGAATTCCTGGAGCTGCTGGAGCTGCTGGTGTCCCGCGCCCGCACCTACGTCCCGTCGCTGGCTGCCATGGAGGAGTTCCACCTGAGCCTCTCGCAGTGCGTGGTGCTGCGCTACCACTGGATTGAGCCCTTCGTTCGCTCCCTCAGGGAGCGCCTGGCCGCCTTCCACAGGTGGGTTTGGCAGCGCCCCGGGAGAGCGCTTCTCATACCCCTCCTCTGCCCTCGGCATCCGTGTTTCACCAGCATCCACGCCCTAAGGTGTCCCTGGCAGATGGTGCTGGCAGAACATTAAAGCACTGGGGATTTTTCCTTACTGCCTCAGGATCTGGTACCAGACACATCAGGTTTTGGCTTTCCAGGATCAGGCCAGACCTGTGCCATCCCTTAAACCATGGATGATTTTGTTGCTTACATCTGGTGTAGGCACCGGCTGAACATCAGCTGCTTCAGGGCTTCTGTCATTGTCCAGATTTTGGAGGGCTGGAAACGGGAGGGGAATTAATTAGTTTGAGCCCCAAAAGGTTCTGGTTGCACCAGTTTGCCTGTATCTTTCCATGGCTTGGTAACAATCCTGGCCCCTTCTCATCTTCTTTTTTTTTTTCTTTTCCTCCCTAGAGCTGAAATAGGATCTTTCTTATTTCAGGTTCTTCTGTGTGGCTGACCAAGTGAAGGTTTACACCAACCAGAACAAAACCAGGTGAGTGCATAACGGAGCAGCCTGCCTGCCCCAGGAGAATGCTGAACAAGGTGCTGGGTGGACGGGAAGTGTCACCCTGCCTGTCCCACAGTTGGTCTGTGTGACAACATAGTATGTGATCACCTCCAGATCATCTCCAGACATTTCACACCTTCCCCTAGCCATCTGTACAAATTTTTAGCTTTGGCGCTGATTCTCTGCAAGCCTTTGGTCTCATTAGCCGGTGTGCACAGCCTGAGGCGAGCAGAGCGGGACCACCTCTTTTGGCAGCAGTGCCAGTCGTGAAATTGTAGTGCAGGTCTTCCAAGAGCTGGAGAGAAATAGCTGAGATGGTGCTAATTCTCCTGGGTGTCAGCTCAGAAGCCTGATTCCAACGAATGCAATTAGTTTTTTTGAATGTCAAAGCAGAGGTGATTAAAACAGCGAAAAGTTGCTGAATCTGGTGGGAAAGGCAGCCCAATAGTCCTGGGTAGGAAAAAGTGGATATGGAACCTGGGTGACAATTTAATCTTCTGCCTCTCTCCTGGAGGGGAAGAAATGATGACTCTAAATGACTCTAGAAGGTGTCATCCCGACAGTCCTGGAGGAAGTGCTGACCTCTTTGTCACATCTCTCCAGCTTGGTACTTCCCATTCCCTGCTTGCTCTCACGCTGCAAAACCTCTCCAGCAACTTCCACTTTTTTAATGCAGCTTCTGCATGGGCACAGCACTCTGCTGAGATTCCCATACAGTGCATCCTTTGCCTGGAAAATTAATTTTCATGTCCCAAAAGGAACTGAGTTTATCTAGTAAACCTACCTGGTTTATCATCCAGTCCTGCTTCTCCCTGCTACCACATCTTCTGTTTTTCTTCAGAATACAATCAGCATCCCTGGATGCTTAAACCTGGCATTCCTCAGACTATCTTGTGTTAGGGAGTAGGGAACTTGCCCAGTAGGATTGCAGGGCAAAGTATTCTTAGGGCTGTGCTTTCTGCAACATAAAAGAGTCCTTGCTGTCTCTCCTTGCCTTTCTTGAGTCCTTGCTGTCTCTCCTTGCCTTTCTTTAGGACTTTCATTGGCTTGGAGGTCTCTGCTGGGCATTTCCAGCTGCTGGAGCTGGTGTCGGAGGTGGATGGAGTTCTAGAGGAATTTGACCTTCCCACATTCTACAAGGTGAGGCGTTTCCTGCTTACTCCCCTGCCAGTCTGGACATGCTGGCTGGTTCCCTGCAAGATGTTCACTCAAATAAACAGGAGTCAGTTGCAGTGGCTGCCCTGCATGGAAGCAGAGTTGTCCTAGGATAGAATGGGCACTGTGGGACTGAGGATAATCCTTGTGTCTTTGTCTTGGGCTCCTTTCTTGGACATTAGTCCAGAGTTTTTGCTTATTACTAGCTTTGGGATCAGGCTTGCGATTTTGAAGGGCCAGACCCCTTCAGTTTGTCTGTCTCCAGAGCCAAGCAGGGAGCTCATGTTGGTTATTCAGAAGTGACCCATGTACCTGCTCTACAGCCAGTGCTGAGAGATTCTCCCACAGCTGCAGAGTTGAGCACAGAGAGGTTGGGAACCAGGCAGCCTTGCCCACTGGTGTCCAGAAGGGCTGGTTTGGGAAGCCCAGGACTCCTCTTGCCTCCAGCACTGTCCAGATCTGCTCTGCAGCTGTTGGGTTGGCAGAGGGGATCTCAGCTTAGGGATCCTCCAGCCTCTGTGATCCCAGACGAGGCAGAAGCATCATGCCACATCTCCCACTGTGGCTCTGTGCATCAAGCAAAGCCTTCTTTAGCCCTCACATTCTTATCCCTGTTTTGTCTTCAGGACCCATCATTCCACATCAGCTTGGCCTGGTGCGTCGGGGACCTGTCTGGCAGGCTGGAAGGGCAGTGTCTGCGGGAACTCCAGGTGTGTCTCCACGTGGTGTGGGAGCAGCAGGAGGGCAGGGCTGGAGTCCAGCCACATCTCCCTGCCAAGGCTGGACAGTGGGAAATCCACTGAGCAGGACAAACTTCAGTGGGCTAAAAGATGAGAAGCTTTTGGAGGGAGCATGTATTAAGTCACCCTCCTGAGGGAAGTCAGAGGCATCCAGCTGCAAAAGGCTTCATCTGTGGCTTGCTTCAGAGAGGGAGCGGCCGACTCTATCCTCTGGCAGATCCTCCTTCCTGGTATTGACTCCTGCCTCTGTTTTCCAGGACATTGTGGATGGGTTTGAGGAGTCAGCATTCCTGCTGCGTATCCAATGGGAGCAAATCCGCTGCAAGTCAGGGAACAAGTACTTCTCCTTCCCTTTGAGGTAGGGGCAGGTGGGGCTGTGCATTTTGGAGCCTTGAAGAGCCTGATGCTGGACCAAGGACTGTTGTCTGGCACAGCTCTGGGTGGCGTGGGTTGTCACGCACCTCCAAACTCTTCTTGCCTGCTCAGCGTCTCTGCGGTGTTTGTGGCCTCAAGTCGGGCTACTTCCAGTTTGAGCTGCTGGCTGAAGAAAACTGTGTTTGTAGCAGATTCCATCCTCGCTGCTGGATGTGCTGCAGTCAGCACCGGTGGTTCCAGTCATCACACAGTCACTAATTTTGCTGATTTTTTTAAAAGAAAGAAAAAAATAAATCTTCAAAAGCCATAGATGCCTTATGGGAAGGAGGAAGAAGGTAGCGTGGGAAGCTGCTACTAAAGGGAGAGTGTCTCACACAGTGGGAAGTAGCAGTGCCAGATTGTTGGGAGACTCTGGGCATGTTTTGAGTAGCAAGAGGCAAGAGCTGGATCCTCTTCCCTGAGTGTTTTCCTACTGTAAGCCAGCTTGGTCGAGCTCCTGAGTCATGTTGTGTCCCTCTCACACTGCTGCTGCCTGTGTAGAGACATTGCAGTGTCTGATCCTTTTGCCAAACAACAAGAGCTTGCTGCCAGGTGTGGAATGGACAGTCAGTGTTTGCCTGAGATGGGAGGGCAGTCCCTTCAGGTCAGTCAAAGGGTTGCAGCTCCTGCCCAGGCCCCACACTTTTTCCCTGTGTGATCAGCACCCCAGATGGATGATGACCCAGGGGATTACAGGCTGGACACTGTCCCTTGGGAGAAGCTCCTTTTTAATCCTTTTGCTCCTGTGGGTTGGTTAGCTGCAACCTGTCAGGTAGTTGGAATAAACAGGATGCTGATGCGATGTGCTGAATCTTTTATTCTGTGTCTGTTATTCCATGTCTGTCCGGGACTTCTGAGCAGTAAAAATCTGCCTCCTCATATCATAAAACTGTGACTGTGGTGTATTTTATACACAGTTCCTGCAGGTTTCACGTGAGGCCACGTCTGTCAGTGCTCCTGTGAGCTCCATACTGCCTGTCCTGGCACACCAGAGTGGCTTTGTCTCTGGGAGCGTCTCCATACAGTCGGGATTTGTGTCCCTGGGAGCATCGCAGCCAGTTGCTGCTGCCAGCAGCCTTTTGAAGTCCTTAACAAAAAAATCTGTTAAGTCTTTAGCCAGTTAGTTTCCCGAATGGGGATCTGCAAGATAAGTTTCTTCTGGGGGAAGGAAAAACAAACAAACGTAGAGATATATTTAGCCCCTGGGGACTTAAGTGAAACCGGTTTCTCCCAGGTTAATGCTCAACCACCGGCCCCAGCCGGGCCTGGCACAACACCCAGTTGTGTAACACCGGGTGTCAGAGACCGCCGGGACAGGGGACGATGGCTGTGGGGACAAAGTCGGGAGATGTGGCGGCTGCCGGCGGAGTCTGAGGGCGGCAGGGCCCGGGGCGGGGGTTCTGCCCGGGGGGTTCTGCCCGGGGCCGGGGGTTCTGTCCAGGGCCGGGAGGTTCTGCCTAGGGGGTTCTGTCCAGGGCCGGGAGGTTCTGCCCGGCCCGGGGGTTCTGCCCGCGGCTCCACCGCGCACACACGTGCGGGGGGGGGGGGTGTGGCCCCGCCTCCGCCGGCCCCGCCCCGCTGAGGCCCCGCCCCCGCCGCGGCCCCGCCCAGCCCGCTCCCACCGCTCCCCGCCGCCGCCGCGCCCGCCTTCCGCCAGCCGCTGCCGTGCTCCCGGCGGCGGGCAGAGCGCGGCAGGGCAGCCGAGCGGAGCCGGGCCCCGCCGCACCGCACCGGCCGCCCATGTGCCGCGCGCCGCCGTCCTGACCTCAGGCACAAAAGGCGGCCGGGAGGCGACGGGCCGCGCCTGGCACCGCCGCCCATGCACCGTGCGCAGCCCCCCGCGGCGGCTCGGCCCCGGGCCATGAGGGCGGCGTAGCTCCGACACCGCCGCGCTCGGCCCGGCCCGGCCCGGCGCGGCCGGGGGCAGCCGCGACCCGGCGGCGGCGCGGAATGGGAGGAGGGGGCGGCGCCCCCTGGCGGGCGGGCGGGCGCCTCCCGCCGCTCGTGGTGCTGCTGGTGCTGCTGGCGGGGGCGGCGGGCGAGGAGATCAACGCCGAGGTGAGCCACGGGCCC